TCCACTGAAAATGTTACCTAGCCTGGTAATAAAAAGTGTTCGGAAACCAAACCACAAACTCAGAGAACAAACCTTCACCCTCCCAGAGTCAGTCATGCCCCAAACAAGCAAATATGGGAATGAGTGATAAGGGTATAGAGGACTTTTTAATAAAGAAAGGGCATCATTATTCTAAGGAAGATCACTGTGGTGGAATTTGAGCATGACCTTGGCAGATGGGAGGCAAGAGATGCTGTCTAGGGCACTGCCTAGGCCTAGGATACCTGAGAGGCCACCTACTGCCACCAGTAGCATCCCACCATCCAGTGCGATCCCACAGAGTTGGCCTCCTCAGGGTGCCGGCGGCCAAACAGTGTCAGCTAGCGGCCCCCAGGGGGAGAGCCTTCTGTGGGAGCGCCTTCCCTCTGGAATGAGCTACCCCCAGAGCTTCCCATAATCCCCGTCCTCTGGTCCTTCCGACGCGCCCTAAAAAGTTGGCTTCTTCTAACAAGCTGGCCTGGTTTGAATAGAATAAAATAGAGGATTAATTTGGTTGTTAATTTTAATTTAATTTTTAAAATTTTATTGTAAATATCAATTGAGGGTTTTTTTTTTGGATACTTTATTTAATGTCCCTTTTAATTTTTGTAATATGTGTTTTCTTTTATGTTGTACGCTGCCCTGAGTCCTTGGGAGAAAGGCGGCATATAAATCCAATAAACCTAAACCTGATCAGTGGAACAACTTGGCACTGGAAATTGTGGGTGTTCATCACTGGAGGTTTGGAGAAGAGATTGTCTGAAATGGTATAGGGTTTCCTGCCCAAGCAGGGGGTTGGACTAGAAGACCTCCAAGTTCCCTTCCAATGCTGCTATTCTATGATCCTTCTTTCCTTCCTTCCTTCCTTCCTTCCTTCCCTCCTTTCCAGCCTCCCTCCTTTTTCCTTCCTTCCTTTTTTCCTTCCTTTCCTCCTTCCCTTCCATCCTCCCTCCCTTTTCCTTCCTTCCTTCCTTTCTCCCTTTTCCTTCCTTCCTTTCTTCCACCCTTCCTTCCCTTTTCCTTCCCTCCTTTCCATCCTCCCTCCCTTTTCCTTCCTTCCTTCCTTCCTTTTCCTTCCTTCCTTCCTTCCACCCTTCCTTCCCTCCTTTCCATCCTCCCTCCCTTTTCCTTCCTTCCTTCCTTCCTTCCCTCCTTTCCATCCTCCCTCCCTCCCTTTTCCTTCCTTCCTTTTTCCTTCCTTTCCTCCTTCCCTTCCATCCTCCCTCCCTCCCTTCCTTCCCATTCATTCATTCATTCATTCATTCATAATTTATTTTTTAATCCATTGCAGGCACTTATAACCACATTTGGGAGCAGAATCTTCACTGCTAAGCAAAGGGAGGGCTAAAGGAATCACACCCCGATTTTACAATCTTCTTCCTCCCGGGGGGCCAAGCGAATCCCTAGAGATGTGGGGTGGGTCTGCGTCATTAAACAGACCCAACTTCCTCCATTGAACTGGGCTTGTCAGAATCCAGCTGAGAAAGTTGCAAAGGGGGGGGGGGATGGTGTCGATCCCCTGGGCCTGGGAAATTGCGACGGTCGTAAATACACGCCTGTTCCGGCGTATCCGGAAGGGTCTGAATCTTGATCAACGGATAGCTCAACGAATGGCGCAATGGTTGCATCTGTGAGGACCGTCCATTTATTTCAGGGCCCTTGTAACTTCGGACGGTCGTTAAACAAATGATTGTAAGTTGAGGACTATTGTATTGCTATTTATTTGTTCCCGAGTTTTAAAAAGATCCCAGTTCAAAATTTCTTACTCTAAAGCAGGACTCTCCAAAGCTCCCTCCCTCTCCTTCCTTCCTCCATTCCTCCTTCCCTCTCCTTCCTCCCTTCCTTTTCTTTTTCCCCTCCCTCCTTCTCCCTTTTTTCCTTCCTCCCTCCTTCCCTCTCCTTCCTTCCCCCATTCCTCCTTCCCTCTTCCTCCCTTCCTTTTCTTTTCCTTCCCCCGTCCCTCCCTTTTCCCTTCTTCCCTCCTTCCCTCTCCTTCCTTTCCTCCCTCCTTTTTTCTTCCTTCCTCCCTACCAACCTATCTACCCTTATACTTCCTTCCTCCCTCCCTCCATTCCTCCTTCCCTCTCCTTCCTCCCTCCCTTCCTTTTCTTTTTCCCCTCCCTTTCCCCCTTTTTCCTTCCTTCCTTCCTTTCCTTCCTCTCTCTCCTTCTTGCCTCCCTCCCTCCCAACCTACCATTATACTTCCTTCCTCCCTTCCTCCTTCCCTCTTTCCTCTTCCTTTACCCTCTTCCCTTTCTCCCTCCCTTTCTTTTCCTTCCTCCTTTCCTCTCCTTCCCTCCTTTTCTTTTCCCTCCCTCCCTTTTTCCTTCCTTCCCTCTCTACCCCTCCCTTTTTCCTCCCTCCCTCCCTTTCCTCCCTCCCTCTCTCTTTCCCTACCAACCTACCTATCTACCATTATACTTCCTTCCTTCCCTCCCTCCTTTCCTTAATATTTGTGGGCTTCAACTCCCAGAATTCCCCAGGCAGCACGGTGGCATTCTAGCTGAGGAATTCTGGGAGTTGAAGTCCACAAGCCTTAAACATGCCAAGACAGAGCTCTAACAAGGAAGATTCCCCCCCAGCCCCCCCCCAATTGCCCCACAGCCTTTGCCTTTCAATCCCTTCATTGATTGGGGAAGTCATTGGGGGAGCGGGGGGGGGGGGATAAAGAAGGAATTCACACACATTTTGGCTCCTGGATCTGCTGTTTTTATTTTCTTGGATTTGTACAACTATATTTTACAGAATGCATTAATGCAGTTTGAAATACCCCCAAACCCTGTCACCGAGATCGACCGATTGTAACACAAGTGTATAAAATGAGACCAAATTATTTCTTATTATTTCCTTTTTTTCCCCTTTTTTTAAAAAGGAACAAAAGAGAAATTTTTTAAAATCTCCCATCCAGAATTCTTTCACAATTTTAAAACCGTACCGGATTCAGTTTCATTGAAAAGAAAGGCACTGTGAAAAAAACCAAAAAAATAATATCCCCAAACAAACATTATACATATATATTTATATTTATTTATTTATACATATATATACATATATATACATATAT